TATTTTTGTGGAAACCATGATAGACTTCCATTGAAAAGTATGGAGTGAGATTTAAAAAAAAAAGAGAAATTAATACTTTTAATTCTTTTGCATTAACAGTAAAGACATTCATAATGTTACAAAAGATTTCTATTTCAAATACACTGAACTTTCTGTTCATCAGAGAATCCTGAAAAATGTATCACGGTTTGCAAAAAAAAATGAAGCAGTTTTCAATTTCTCAACTGGTTGCTTGAAACATTCTTTTAAATTAATTCTTTTGTGTTCCACAGAAGAAAAGAAAGTCCTACCGGAACAATATGAAGGTGAGTAAATGGTGACATAATTTTCATTTTTGGGTGAACTATCCCTTTAAGAGCCCTGCAAAATAAAAAATAAAAATAAAAAATCCCCCGATAGTAAAGCATCTACAATACCATAATGAAAGGAGTTAATGCTGTCTGTGTCCTGGATTTTAATCAGGCATGTGAAGAGTTACACTGACCTCCCATGCACTTCCCATGCTTTGAAATGAACTCCGCTGAACACCCGCTCGTATGCATGTCTAATGCTCCAGTTTTGTATTCACAGCCCATTGCTTATTTCCCCCCCATTACTTTGCATGTCAGAAGCAGTTTGGTACTGGTGTTTAGTACAGGTTTGCGAAAGGCTAAATTTACCCGGGCTGCTCGCTGAATGAGGAAGCGGAGGGATTTCACCTTGATAGGTATTTCGTTTCATCAGACAGGTTCGGCTGTAGCTTGACAGAGATGGATAATTATGGCATGCCTTAAGGGCACTACATAGGACTCACTTTCAGACTATATATGAAAGACATTCCAAGGCAGCATACTACATAATGCATTGATACTTCAGATACTGTAGACCTAACACCATCAAGAGACACCATGCAGCATTTGATGTTTACTACTCTTTCCATGTGGACAGCGTAGAACAGAGTGAAGGATTGTATTCATCAGGGATTTACTAATCAACAAGCTATTTTTTCCGTCTGCAGTTCCATCAAGTTTTAATATTCTCAGGTTGCTTGTTATTTGTTAGAGTCACTGGCGAGTGACTTGCCATATTTTTTTCCCCTTATGGCAAAATAGCACTTAAAAGACAGCTACGGACTGTGTGCAGCAAACAAATTATTCAATTTTCACGCCTCAGTTGTATTAAAACTGCAATTAACACCGGTATTCTTCCTATTCACCAGATAATTAAAATATGCAAAAACACTGCAGCATTGTCTGTATGGGCCCATTATACTTGCTTCCACACACAGAAGCAAAAAACACAAACCAGTCAAATTAATTTAGCAGCAAATATTAGATTAAACTGCTTACTGCACATACTGTGACAGCACGCTACGAATGTGAACCACTTCCTCATGGTTGCTGCAAAACACAAAATAACTATTTACATTCACTTTTATATAAATAATTTGTATTAAGCAAACCATTAGCATAAAGTAGCACTGCTTAATTTTTCTTGTAATGTGAACATCTTTGAAACAACAGAAATTCAATTTGGTCAGAGCTAAATTTTTGAGATTTTACAAGAAAATACTATTTCAGCTTTTCTACTTAAAATTTGAATGTGTTACTTTCCATTTCATTGCAATTATTTGTGAAATGTACTAGCAGTTTCTGAGAGAAAACGTAAGAAATTTTCAAAATACTAAATTTTATTCTTAGCAACATGATTTTGTGTGTCATTATTTTTTTTAATGTATTGATGCTAACTGAATACTATTTAGCAAAACCTCAACGATGTTAGCCATCTAGTTGCCATTGCCTACTATTTAATTCAGCAGAACTTGCAACAACATTATTTAATACATTGCAGAAAACCATATATTTTATGTTTAAAAGCCATAAAAACGTATGGCCATGGTCAACAATCTTAAGATGATACAGTGATACTGGTCAGCAATCAGGCCATCCTTCCAGTTTACCAACTTTCCTTTTTAAAGGTCAAGTCATGCATCACTAATGTCACCAATCAGAACCGCAAAACTAATTTACCATAAATAATTAAAAAATAACCCATTGGTGAAGTCAATGTTATGGTGTCAAACCCAGTTAGGCCGTTCAAAGAAGCACATTGCAATTCTATTTGATGCTACTGATGGCTCAGAAATGACACAATCATTATGGTTTTTGAAAACACAGAGAGGCATATGTGACCCTGGACCACAAAACCAGTCTTAAGTCGCTGGGGTATATTTGTAGCAATAGCCAAAAATACATTGTATGGGTCAAAATGATTGATTTTTCTTTTATGCCAAAAATCATTAGGATATTAAGTAAAGATCATGTTCCATGAAGATATTTTGTAAATTTCCTACCATAAATATATCAAAACTTAATTTTTGATTAGTAATATACATTGCTAAGAACTTCATTTGGACAAATTTAAAGGCGATTTTCTCAATATTTAGATTTTTTTTGCACCCTCAGATTCCAGATATTCAAATAGTTGCATCTCGGCCAAATATTGTCCTATCCTAACAAACCATACATCAATGGAAAACTTATTTATTCAGCAGATGATTATATAAATCTCAATTTTGAAAAATTGACACTTAAGACTGGTTTTGTGGTCCAGGGTCAGGTCAAAATTATCGATTTTTCTTTTATGCCAAAAATCGTTAGGATATTAAGTAAAGATCATGTTCCATGAAGATATTTTGTAAATTTCCTACTGTAAATATATTAAAACTTAATTTTTGATTAGTAACATGCAATGCTAAGAACTTAATTTGAACCACTTTAAAGGCGATTTTCTCAGTATTTAGATTTTTTGGCACCCTCAGATTCCAGATTTTCAAATAGTTGTATCTCGGCCAACAAACCATACACCAATTCAAATTATGTATAAATATCAATTTCGAAAAATTGACCCTTATGACTGGTTTTGTGGTCCAGGGTCACATATATGAGACATATTGGAAATAATTCTATACAATCTCCTCTACTAGTGTTAGACTATATGGTTGTGAACTCTCAGTTTGGTGTGATTGATATTTTGCGTTCACCTAGCCTTTTATAAAGATCAGAAGAAATTAAGGAGAATTATTTGAACAGCACTTTAGAGATTAAGGGAAACCTCATGCTGGCCTTTAGATGTAATGACACTGCTGTCGTCACTCCAGATTGACTTCATTTTGCTAATCATTCCTGTGGTTAATGAGGCCGTGACATCTGATTGGAGGTTGACCTTTGTGCTGAAATATAATTCGACATGCATGGATGTATGTAAGTTTCCATTCAGGGGAGTCGTAAACTTGTTCTTGCTTGTATATTACTCACCATGAATCTAATTTTATGGGAGTCTTTATTGGTAATATCTTTCGCAGCTAATGTAATCTATGGCATGCTAATGTGCAAAACTTGCGAAGATGAATAACTTTGCAGTACTGCAGATCTGTAGTGTAGAATTAGGGGATTCAAATGTATTTTTCTGCAAATCGGCAATGTCTCGGTTTTAGCGGTCATGCTATCTGTCTTTTAATATGGCTGGCGCTGAACCACGCTTTTGTGTAAACTTAATTGTGTGTTAAACTTTTGCCCACTGTGTACACTATAACAGATCTCAGTGCACGGCATACACAGATAGTGTCAAGCCAATTTGTAGAAAGTGTCAAGACACTTCCCCTTTTGCACAGATTTATGGAGCACAATAGTTGATCTACCCAGAGGACTTCACACTGAATGGATGACTAGCCTAATGCTGTGCAATACCAAACACAGAGGACAGATTGCAGCCTAATGGCAAACATGAGAGCTAATGCCAATCATCATCCTTCTAGGACAGAGAATAGAATAATCTCCCCAGGATTCACAAATACTACTGACGGATACTGAGGTTGCCATATGTAGGCTACTCTGTCATGCAGTACCAAGGCCTAGATTATGCAATGGAGCCAAAGATGATAAATGTAACGGCAAAAGTGCATTAAAACCATCTTGCTGCCTCTGTGCCCAGTCAGTTAATGACTAAACAAGCAACATTTTGTGTATGAAAACTGGTTTCAGGCTTCCGGGGCTCCAGAACATCAAGAAAGATTTAGAGATGATTACGATTCTTATTTCTCAGTAGAAACTGAGTGTTGAAAAAATGCACTATATTGCATAATATCAAAAACAGCAAAGGATGCAAAAAGGAAACTATGCTGCCTTCAAAACTGGCCAAGTGAAATCAACTGGAAATCTAAATTTTGAATTTAAATTATAATTGCCTTTTAAATTCCAGTTAAATTCCTAAATTTGAATTGAAAATTGCCGTTCAAATTTAAGTGTTAACATGAATTGTAATTGAAAGAAGATTAAAATTATTTCTGATGGATCATGTAACAATGAAGACTGGAGTAATGGCTGCTAAAATTCAAGTTTCTGTTAATTGAATTAAATAAATGCAGCCTTGATTTATAAGAGACTTATTTCAAAAACACTGTATTCTTCTGCCTACTTAATAAACTTTTAGCCACAAAAAGCAAAAGTGACACATCTCCACTTTCACAAAACTTTTAAAATAGCCTATTAACCAATATGACAAACTTTCAACACCAGCAAATTGTGTTATTTTCTCCATATTTGCTTATTTTCCATAATTATACAGCAGCTGAGGTTTTTCATAGCAAAATTTTAAGACTAAACCAATATTTTCACCAAAAAAAAAAGCTAGCTAGATGCTCTTGGCCCTTCGACAATTCAACCACCTTCTTTGCTGTAAATTGCCGAGCAGTTGTGTGCCAATTACAGCTTCGTGAGTATTTTCCACCCTCAGTTTTTCAAAGAACCCACACAGTGTATTTGATGCACTGCATTGTGGTTTGAGACCCAAAGACCATGTTCATGAATGACCTTAAACCGGCCCCTAAAAATATCTCTTTGTGTTTTGCCGCCTCTGAATTAAAAAATACACAATCAAACATAAGCTGATTAAGTATCTTACATGGATTAAAAAACAAAAGCTAAACGAAGAAACAGTCGCCATTCAGATTTATGCCCTACCTGGTGTGTCCCCAAAAGGTTTCGGTGGTTTGGCAGTCACTCTGGAGTTGCTTGGCTGTGTGGTGCTGTGCCTCTTAGGATGCGCGGTTGTAATCACCGCATACGTCCTTTGGGGGCTGCGTATGGTAGTGCTAGTTACGGTAACTGTGGTGGTGGAAGGGGCTAAAGAGGTGACGGTGGCATTCGGGGTCACTTTCGCCTCCTCCTCATGCCCCTCGTCAGCCCCTGTAGGGCCCCAGTCAATAAATCCTGCCACTGTGGTGGTTCTCCCCTCCAGGGAGTCATAGCCGTCCCCTTTCAGCTGCCTCCGTGAGCGAGATAAATGCAGATTTAAATCAGATTTACTCCCCTCTGGTAATGCAACCGACTTCCCTTTGTCAGAGGGGCACTCCGCGCAAAGTTGTCGTTTTTGGAGTGACCTGCGGTTTTTCCGCCCCCACAGTTTGGCGCCCCCCAGCTCCCCGTGATTGCCTAGTGATGGCAAGGGAGGGGGAATGCCACGATGCAAGACACCCAGAGTCCTCAAGTGCTGGCCGGTAAGCGTGTCCCGAGTGGGCAGAGGGTGCGGCTGCCAGCGGGGCACTGATCTGGGCAGTAGTTTGAGGGTGAGTCCTTGGCCTGCTTGTGCACACAGAGACAGATCCATTGTGAGATGGACAAGGATGAAGAGGATCCACATTCTACATCCCAGCATTCCTCCAGGTCTCCAAGCAACCATGGAACTGAAAAGCAGAGAAAGAGAAAGAGGGAAATTAGCCGCATTGGAGAATCTTAATCAGTGCGTCTTTTATACATCACAGAGAGAGTATGCAGGCTCGGCAAAATTTACACAACTTCTTTACCTTAAAGACTGTCTTATTAAATCTTTCAAGGACTGACTACAGTAGATTGGGCTTTACCGCAGTCTTGTAATGTCCTTATTTCCAACACCATTTTCCAGTCTAGCGATTTTCGCTCTAGGCTTCGTTCTGCTCTGTGACTCACTAAGTTCTCATAAATTGAACTCCAATATTAATTAGATGTGTGATTCCCCTTTAACAGCTAGATGCTAAACGCACACTTCAATGTTGTTTTCAAAGACATTTACTTTCAAAGTCTTAGCCCGCACTCTTCAATTACTTTGCTTTGTAAACAAACGTTCCACTGGCTGAATTGGTCTCATGGCGCTAGCAACGTAAAAATCATAGGTTTGCACGCTCTAATAAAACGTATTGCTTGAATGCACTGCATACTGCTTTGGATAAAAGTGTGCCAAATGTCTGTTATTTATTGGTATCTCATAAAATTTGAGTCTGCAAGTGATACAATGTTGGGCTACAGATAAAATACAAGCGCAACTATAAAGTGTATAAAAAATAATTAGATGTATAAAAACTCATTTATATTATATTGTGAAAATTTTCTGAAATTACGTAAAAAGTCCAAATTCAAATTGAATTTTATTCAAACGTAATATATAAAACTACCCATAAACTATATCCAGATATTTTGTTCCTACATGTTACCTTCCTTTTTGTCTTTTGAAAGCAGAATGAAATACAGTAGTCAACATTTGAAGTGGATCAAAAAAGTTAATCAAAGTTGTCCTAAAACAAGAACGCATTTTGGTTTTAGGTTTTAGGACAACTTTGATGAAAGGTTTTGATCCACTTCAAATGTTGAGTAATGAAGTATGATCAAATTTGGTGGTTTAAATAATAATAATAATAATAATAATAATAATAATAATAATAATAATAATAATAATAAATAATATCACATTTCATTATTATGACAGCCCTAAAAAAGCATTTTGTACAATTTTTTTCATATACACCCTAACACCCCCTTGTGGTCCCCTGGGGGTCCCAGAAACCACTTTGAAGACCTCTAGTGAAATAACAAACTCCTCAAACCACAAAATGTCCAACTTCCACTGTGATGGCTTCTTTTAGCTGAACTACTTCTTGAGGGGTGCTGTTTTTTCAATTCCAGAACCTCAAACACATTGAAATGAGCTGTCACACTCATATCTAGAAGCCAAGAATCTGTATTGATCCAGACAGAAAGAGAGTTCATCAAGGCATATCTGTAATCTTTTCTGTCCTTTGATAATATTGGTCACGGTCAAAGGCTAATTTAGAGGGATTAAAGAGCCCACACATGGCCACACATACTATCAATGGCCTTTCTGTTGCTGTGAGTTTAAAGATGACAATTTTATAGTTATCTGACCCACTGGTGAACCGTCATGTCTGAAGTCCAACACAAAGTAAAATATGAGTCATACTTGAAAATTATATACTAAAACGGTTTATAAAGCCACGAATTGAAAAGAATATAGATTCCCTTTTAATCTAAAGAGCACTTTCCATTTACCTATACTTAAGAGCTTGTTCGATATGCTGCTTCATCTGTTCACGAATAAGATGGATTCCTCAAGCACACTACGAGAGGGCCCTTGCTCTCCATTTTCCCCTCTTCTAGCCTCTCTTTACATTTCTCTCTCACTTTCCATTCGGGTAAAAAAAAACATATTTGTGGGATCTAGTCTGACTGAACTGGGTCAGGACCTTGGGTTGGCCACTCATCTGAGAGATTTTACCTCACTAATAAGGTCCTTCAATCCCATTGGGCTGGGCCCCGGGGGGCCTGACTCACACTCCCTGTGCTAATGTGTTCCATTAGAAAGTAATTTCTGTCAGGAACATCATTGTATTTACTTAAGGAGACGTATCGGAACCGATGTTGTGCTATTAATGATCACCCGTCCTCTGGCTTTTGATGAAATTAGGTGGCTACATTGTGAATTCAAGGAGGCTGCTGTGATACTAATGAGGGCTAAATTAAGGGTCACGCAAGACAGGGTGTGAATGAGAGTGAGAAACATTGAGGACAGCTTTGCATGAACAACCCCTCCCTGCTCTTTACTTATAACGCATCAGCTACGATTCGGGTCACTTCAGCATGATGCAACCCATTTAGATTCTGCATTGTAATTCAACACGCCGCTCACAAAGCAAAGGTCTTGTTTATATTTAGATTTTTAAAGTAACCAATTTGAATTCACAGACTACAAACAGACATTTTCAGGGTTCAAAATGAGCTTTTTTGCCACTCAAGCCAATTAAGATGACATAGGCAAACCTCTTCCAATTACTTGCCATTCATATGAATATTCTCTAAATTTGTGGTGACATTTCAGCAACTTGTGACTGATTTCATTGTATCATGAATATAAACATATCCTGTCTTACAGTTCAACCCAAGTAATGTTAAAGTTCTAAATGAAGATACCGGCCAACTGGCGAATTATTGTTTTGTTTATTCAACGAATTTGCATTCTGCACATGTTTGCGAGACACTGAAAATTAGTAAATATATTTAAAACACATAAAAATAAATAAATAAATGCAATAAATTAAAACTACAAGGGGCAGAGACAGGAATAAAGTAGATGAATAAAGAAGATTTTCCTTTTGAATATTCATTAGGCTAATGTTCACTGTGTTTGCAAGCTTGCATAAGATTTGTGCATAGTTGCTTAGATTTAACAGCAGCACAAATATAGACTCAGTGGGAATATATCATTTCTTTTCTCATCCATATTCATGATAATGGGAGGAAATACAAATATTTTTATTTAATAAATGAAAGCGCTAAAAGAACGTGTTTCCTGACACAAGCAAGTTAAAAGAAGCAGCTCGGGAGTTCCTAAAAAGTTAAATGGAAAATATGCTATCTGAAAAAGCCTGAAAGAAAATGATAAGACCATCTCCTTTTCCCATCTCGCTCATATCCGCTTTGTTCAAAGTAAAGGGAATAACATTATAAACACCGACTGAACTGATCATGAGTTTCACCAAAGTCCTTTAAGACCATCTTCATAACACCCCAGACAGCTACTTCTAGTCGCATGCTGCAAAATACATGCTGCACACCTTTAGTGATATTAGCACTAAATTTTATTAGCACAAGTTTACAAGTTAAACTTTACTCACCATCAGGCCATCCAAGATGTAGATGAGTTTGTTTCTTCATCAAAACATATTTTGAGCAAATATTTAGCAAATTTTCATCCTTATGATCATATTCTCCAGCATGATTTGAAATGATCCAAAGAGCATCTTGAGCTCTAGAACATCTGACTGTCTGATCAATGTTAAACTTGATTAGCAACCAAGAAATAGTGCAGAATTTAAAATATTTCTGTTCCTTTTACACTGTAACATTGATATTTTTGATCCTAAAACTTTATCTTATTTTACAAGTCTAGATTAATTTTTCAGTCTCATATTTTCGACTCAGACTTTAGGACTGCAGGTTACGAAGGAATATCAAATAATAATGGTCTAAATACACATGCAAGCCCAGTATATATCCAGAGGGATTATGGTAAGCACTGTCCCAGGTTACTATTAATGAGATGGGAGGTTTTGGTAGATGAGCATATGGCTGGTGGAAAATTCAGGAACATCCAGTACTAGTTACTCGGCTGTCTTCACATCCGATGAGTGAATTTATTCACACAAGACAATCAAGTGACGTGATCTCGTTCCATTACGAATCCTCACACATACTCTCTAGACACAAGACGAAACTTGAGAAACCCGACCAGAATGGTTTCTGACGGCAAGCCAAATGCTCACTGACATATGACTCATGGGCCGATTTTTCAGCTGAATTACACTTCAGAGAAGTGTTGCAAATAAATATGGATTCCATGCCTGCATTTTGGATAAGCGGTCAGCTTATATCTGAGTCAGTCTGATCCTCTTACAGCCGACTGAATCCTTGGATCAGTCACTTGGTTTATCCTAAGCAGAGTGAAAATAATGAAAATGTAATTGAACAGGTAGAATTATCTGTATTTACAAATATTCCATACTAATCTATTTTATAAGATAACTAGCCTGTTGTAATTGTGAAATCAAAAGGGCTAACTTACTACCAATAAGATACCATAAGATATTGTGTATGTATAAAATACATAGGCTCATTAAAACATCCACCTATTGTCTTGCTTATTTTTTCAAAGGTAATTACGTTAATAATCGTAAGTATTTGTAAAATATACATTTTGTATGATGGTGAATGAATTACTCAAAAACAATCCCACAGCAACACTCTCATTTAGCTGTAAATTATGAAGAAATGGCTATTTAAATAGGCAAAATTATTTACAAATGAAATCCAGATGGGACTAATAAAAGTAAGGTCGTATGCACTCTATGTTTGACTGAATGTAATTATTATTAAACCTTGCATAAAGCATAAAATATAGGCAGAGAGTGTTTCTCACTCCAAATATACATTAAAAAGTGAATATCAATACTAATTAGACCACACTGTAAAACATACCGTCACTGAACACAACTGCCCTTGTCTTTCATATATGGTTCATAAATGAACTGGAAGGATTTCACATTTCATATTTAGAGACTAGCAGTAATGAACAGGCAGCTGTCGTCCTCGCATTGGCCCGTTAGCACAAGAGCGTATAAGAGCACTGCATCAGAATATGCTTCCTGCTGGATCACTGGGATGTAAATGGCTGTTTCACATGCTCTGATCTATATGCTACTGTGTGTGTGTGTGTGTGTGTGTGTGTGTGTGTGAGTGAGTGTGTGTTTGTGTGTGTTGTGACTGTGGGGGAGATATCTCCAACAGCCTTGCACTGACATTTCATATCCCTGCCACAGTGATGACAGAACATGACTCCCTCTTCACACATACGCCCTCT